GAACAAGGATATGATAACTTCGAGTAGTTTTCACCGGATAAGTGTGTTAATTGCATGTATTATCGTAGACATACAGATATACCTTAGGTAACCGTTTACGAGACTTGTTATTTTATGCTTTATTCATAATTGGTTTGCATAGACATATGGTGAACCGTTTACGAATAATAGACACACAATACACGCGACAGCGGATTATGAGTAATTTAGTGTCTCGGGTTAATAATCAGGAATCATAACTTGCATAATAGATGTTTAATTAGGTGATGAATTATCACATAGGGGGAAGATAAAATTCTAGATCCGTTTTTATTGATATATTCTCGTGTTTATTTGCTTTTATAAATAGTTTAATTATTTAGTTGATTAAATTTGACAATCTTGCGTAAGCTGGATAAAAAATGTTGTTAGAATTCGGTACTTAGGATTAGGTAATTTGAGTATTCCCAGTGGAATCGACATCCGATTCTCACGAGTCCACCATTACTACTTATTTGCGATACATGCAATTGCGTGTTAGATATTTAGACCAACAGTAAACAACACAGAACCCCCTTGTATTAACGAAAACTAGCAATTCTCCCCGAGCGATGCACGGGAATACATATGAAGAAAATTTAAATATATGATAATTAATTTGTATTAGCAAATAAATTTACATCGATTTCTAATTTTCTGTAAAAGAGAGAGAAAAAAAATTATAAATAAAAAACACATTATCCGAACATACTAGGATTTACAAATTTGATTTGCTATGAAAGTTATTATATAAACAAAAGTTGGAAAATAGAAGATAAAAAAAATAATAATAATTTATTTAAATTTTCTTACAAATATGCCATTTGGGTTTCTTAGGTTGACCTAGCGTTTTTACTTTTATATATAAGATCTGCACCAATGCCCCTAATATTTTTTTTTCTTGCTTAAAACTTCCTAGTGTTTCACTTTACTTTGCACGAAATTCCCTTTTCCGTTAAAGGTTAATGCCGTTAACTATAGATGAGATTTTATGCATTCTTTTCATAACGGATGGGGATTTAGTGCATATTTTTTAAAATACAAGGGGATTGTATGCGAAATTAATTTATTCGTTTAAAGTTCATCTTATTTTCTTAAATTAATTCGAACACATTTATTCAGTTATGATATGAAAATAGTCCCGCAAGGGATGGCCTAGCGGTTGGAGCAAGTGAGCATGTACCAATTGACCCATGTTCGATTCTCCTTGCCAACGGTCGTTAGGTTGAGCTTGTCACACATGGTTAGCCTCGTGTGGTTTACATCTCCCTTATGGTTTGTAAGCTACTATACGAGAGTGTAGGTTTGCCCAATGCACATATATGATTGGCTGCGGATTCCTTCATTACCAAAAAATATAATATGAAAAATATAAATTTAATGGGTGAGGTGAATGTTTTTTTTAAATAAATTTTATATGATATAATTTATTAATGTATTTAAAATTTTGATTTTTAAAAATATAAATTATTTAATTTGAATTATTATATATTTTTATAATTTATTCTAGATTAATTATTTGTGAATAGAACATAAATAATTTGAAAATTCGTTCCAACTTTCATCTCGAACATTATTTTTTTATTTTAAATAACTAGATGTATTCGACTTAATTTAAAAAAATAATTTGAAATTTAAATGAATAATTTAATTTTGCGTAGACCCTCTTGTGTTGCAAAACCATGCACCAAATCCCCCTATATTACAAAATTCTTGCATAAAATCCTCTTTATTGTTAACGGTGTTAACTATTAACAGCAATGAGAATTTCAGCCCGCATGGGTGTAGCTCAACTGGTTCCGGAGGTGGTAAGTTGGTGCAAGGTCCTAGGATCGAATACTGGCAACCGCAGTGTGGGAATTTCAACTCCAATGAGGGTTGGCTCCTTGTGGGCACCAGGTCCGATCCGGGTGGCCGTTGAGTTCCCTGGGATTTCGCTTTTTATGTTGTTTACCCTTAATTTTATCTATAAAAGAAAGAAACGATAGGACAATCCTAAGCAACCCAAAAACTATTTTTTCAATTATTTGTTTGAAATATTTTTTTTGTCCACTAATTTTGTAATTATGAAAAATTCAAACCAAACTGTGTAAAATACTTCCAATGTTAATCTCGTATTTTTCAAGATACATCTTTAATTATATTTGAACTTTTGCTTTATTCATTGTTTCATTTATTTAACGATCAATTTCAGTTTGCGACAATTAAGTTTATATAATATTTTGCGGAATTGGTTTGTATTCTCAGATTTAATTAAATGTTGATACTGCTACTATAATTTAAATATCACTCATAATTTTTTAATTGGGTAAATTACAACCACCTCCTGAGCTATAGTCAAATTACGAAACCCTCTTCTTGTTTGGA